GGAAAGAGAAAACAAGGCTCAAAGCACCAGGTCCGGGGCTCAAACTGTGATTGACCACGTGGCCAAGTCCAGTGCTTTAATTGCCACACCACCTGGTGGCCCCTCCACAAGCTTTTTGAAGTCTTTTTGTAATTCCTTTAATGCATTGTTCTTTTGCATAATGGTGACTATTTTCATCCTCGGGAAAATAAAAGGCTCAATCAGTGATGGAGTAGCATACTTTAAAGCATGTAGTTCTTAGAATCCTAGTCTTTATTCATGATAAGGGTATGATAGACTACTGTTCTTTTTATTCACAAATTCAAAGAGAGATGATCAGGGCATTGTAGAGTTATGAGCTGTAACACCCAGGCAATATTCATGAATAAAACTATGATGATGGTATTGTGTGATGATTTATAGTTTTGAAAGCATTTTTTAGGTTTATTTCTTTCATGGATTAAAGAGACAGAAAGAGATGCAGACAGACAACCACCCTCAGCAGGGTCTCACACCACATCCCCGGCCTTCCCAGCCAGTCAAGATCAAGGGCTCTCATATGCCTGGTGAGTTCAGGTTGACCCTGGAGGGAACCGAACCCCTATCTTCCATGTGTCTCCGGCAAAGCTGGCATGACTCAAGGACTTTCCAAAATATGCTAACCCAAGTCCTTTTCCAGTCCTGTTCCCACTGTGCCACTACCTGACCCCACAGAGGAATTTTTCTTTTTCTTTTTTTTTTTATAATAGAGATTTTGCTATAGGATGTGTGCACTGGCCAGAGAGACAGAGGCAGACAGTGAGACAGAAAGTGAGAAATCACCCCCTGGAGGGATGGTCACACTCCAATCCCTTTTTCTCTTTTCTCCTCTTTGGATTTGGGGCACGCACCCACACATGCCCCGTGTGAGTTTTAAGTTACTGGATCCGGAACTCGAACCAGTGTTGACTATGTGGTTGTCCAGTGATGTAATCATTACGCCATCTGCTGGTCCCCACAAAGTAGTTTTTAATTGGATAACTACGGTGCCTTGGCATGCAGCAATGGTGCTTCATGCATACTTCCCATTCCCTTATAGATTATTAAAAAGATGTGTATTCGGGGTCAAGAATTAGTAAAAGTAGTAAGATTGATTGTTTCATTGGAGTGATTTTCAACAACTTTATTTTACACATTGAATCATTATATATCACCCCAGCTTGTAAAATGAATTTTCCCAGCATGAATACATTGCATACCAGTCCAGTTAAAGGTATTATCATACACGTTGTCATCAACAGACAATCCTCCCTTTCTGTATCTCATTTTTAAGTTAAACTGGATTTTTATTTCTTCATTTTTATGAGGCATACATGATGATAGAGAATACAGTTATTACGAGTATAGTTTGGTGCCATTGCCTTGACTTGTATGACGGCACTAGCAGTTTTATCCCACTGCTTTTATATCATCAGCATACATGATGATAGAATGAAAAAGGCACATAAGGTATTAGTATTATAAAAGTAAAATCTGATCTTGATAGTGGTTAGCAGATCATACTTTGAAAAATCACCGATAGAGGATTTGAACTTTAAAGTACAGAGAGAAAGTGTGTGTGTGTGTGTATGTATAATTCTAGTACGCCCTACTAAACACTTCTCTAAAATGGTTGTACCATTCTACACTCTATACTCTCACCAGCAATTCTCTGAAAGTTATTCTTGATCCACATTCTCGTCAACTCTTAGTATTGTCAGAATTTAAAAAATTTTGCCCAACTGAAAGGTGTTTAATGGTATCTCATTGTGGTTTCATTTGCATGTCCTATGACCAATGAGACTGATTGTCTTTTAGTGTTTACTGATAATTCACATTTCTCCTTTTATGAAGTACCTGTTTAAATTGTTTGCCCATTGAAAAAAATTTGCTTTTACATTTTTTCCCTATTCATAGCAATTTTTCACATATTGAGAATAAGTGTTTTGTTTGTCACATACACTCCCTTTGCTCTATAGCCTGTCTTTTCACTCTTAATAGTTCATTTTTACAAGGAGCAGTTTCTACCTTTAATATAGTAAAATTTATAATCTTTCATTTATAGCAATCTTACTTTTGCTCTTTTTAGATAGAACTGTTTTTGTACTCTGAGTCTTTAAAACATTGATTCTCCTCTGTTTTATTGTTTCATTTTTCACATATACTAAGCCTATTTGTCATTTGGAATTGATTTGGCATATAGCATATGGTGGGGGGGAGGATGTTCCAAGTTCCTTTTATATTTTTCTTTCAAATATATATCCAATTGCCTCAGAATCTTTTAATAAAAAATCTAGCCTATAGTCAGTGATCTACATTGTCACTTTTGCCATATTGCCATAAATGTGAGGATGTCTTTCTGGGCTTTTTGGTCTTCTAACATTATTTCTCTCATTATGAATATGTAGGTTAGTCTTGGCTCTTTGCATTTGCTTATACATTTTAGAATTGTTTTCACATTCCTTCCTGAAAACTTGTTGAGATTTTAACTGGGGTTGAATTAACTCAATAGATCAATTAAGAAAACATTTATGTCCTCACAATATTAAATGTCTTAACATATGAAACTGTTATTTCACTTCATACTCATGGATTTAGATGTATTGACTTTGGTCATTGCAATGGTTTGGATAATGGTTTGTCCCCCAAAGTTTCATGTTTTGGAATTTGATCGCCAGTGTAATGATGCTTAGAGATTGTGAGAGCTTTAGAGGGTGAGACCCAGAAGGTGGTGATTGAATCATGGAGGCACAGATATCATGAGTGGATTAATGATGGTTCACAAGACTCAGTGAGTTTTATTTCTTTTGGGTAGAAGTTAGTTCTCAAGAGAGCAAGTAGTTACTAAAGGAGGATGGCCACCCCAGGTCTCTTTCTCTGCCTGTGCCTGCCATCCTCTCTGCTTCTGTTGACCTTAGTCACATTGTCATGTAGCTGGCCTGATGCCTACCTCACACCTTCAGACTTTTCAGCCTTCAGAATTAGTCAAATAAGCCTCTATTATTTTTTTTTCCCAAGGGTGTGTGTACTTACCGGAAAGAGACAGAGAGTAAGAGAATAAGTGAAAAAGCACCCCCCTGAGGAATGGTCACCCTGCACTCCCTTCTCCTCCATCTCTTTTTCCTTTCAGGATTTCGGGCTTGCCTGCACACATGTCCAGTATGATTTTCAAACTGCTGGGGCTGGGACTCAAATGGCACAGTTGGCCATGTGTCATCCAGCTGCCTTCGTCACCACACCATGGCCGGCCCCACTTCTATTTTTTTATAATTCAGTCTCAGGAATTCCTCTTCTTAACATAATAGCAAACTAAATAGTTTATTTGACTAAAATATATATTGTGATTTAAGAAAAATATATTATTTAATGTCTATAATGTTAATGAAAGGTGGAAAGCATATGAGGGAGGATATCTAGAGATTATATTGGTAAAAATAATCTAAGAAGACATGTGTTTGGATTTCTAAAGTAGCAAGGTCTTCACACACTTACACACGTGCCAGCATGGATCCTGGACTTGAACTTTGCCATTGACCATGTGGGATCCAGCTATCTTGACTATCATGCCACTTGGCTAACCCAAAGGGTTTTTTTTTGTTTGTTTGTTTGTTTTTATGTATAGAAGGATTACATTCTAAAATGAAAATATAATACGGTAAATACATAAACCAGTAACATATTTTTTTACTAGCATTGTAAAATAGTATGTACTGTATATAATTATGGGAATTATACTTTTACATGACTGGCAACACAGTTTTATTTCCATCAGCACCACTGCAATTACGTGATTATATGTTTTGCTAGGACATGACTAAATGATAAGAATTTTTCTGCTCCATTGTAATCTATAGGTCTCCTGTTTTATTTGTGGTCTGTTGTTGACCAAAACATCATTATGCAGCATGCGACTATTTTCACATCAAGCCCCGGTTGAGCTAATGAAAGAAAATAAAGTATGCTTCTCTGTAGAACACTTTGGACCTTATTCCCAAGCTTACTCTTAATAGGTAAATTTGAATCAAGTATAGAATCATCTGTAAAGTGGGTTTAATGTTTAGGGAGAATAATTTAGTGATTTCCATAACCTCTGAAAAGGATTTGGACTCCTGTAAGCAAAGCACAAAGCACAATTCATTTCATTTAACATACATTTTACATTGTTTTGTGAAATTAATTGTGTTTCTTGGATTAGGAAAAAGTTTGCAATACAAAAGGAAGATAGATATGTTCTATATTTTTAGAATGTATACTAATTATTCCTGAAATTACAGTTACTGCGGATGGCTTTTAAGTGATAGCAGTATTTTACTCCATTTTTATTGTGATGTTTTCTCTCTTACATTTTTTATATAAGGAAGTTATTAACCAAGAAATATTTCTCAGTGTTTTTCTAAATTGGAGTCACTAGAGAATAAGAATCTGAGATCTATATTGTAACTTTTTTTAGTGTCTGAAACTTACTCGTTTGTCGAGAAAATAATTCAGCCTACTTGGGAAGTGGTCCTTTCACCATGTTTTACTTGGAACCAGTCAGGTTCAATTCCAGGAAAACAGCCTGAGAGAGTATTACTTCTCACATGGTAAGAAGAGAGTTACCAGGGAACATCCCTACCGAATGTTTTCTTCTTAGCAGTTTTGTGGCTACAGATTGATAACTGCATTGCTCAACTTAAGTTTACTTCTTGGTGGGTAAGATTATATCCTACACATTAGTATTTGATCCCTTCCCCCTAGATGCACAGCTTTTGGTGAGATTTGTTTTGAAGACTATTTTAGACCACTTAACTCCAGGAAGACCTTGTACATTTTTTCCTATCTTTTTTCTTTGAATATTTTTGTTTGTTGAAGTTTTCTTTTCTCTTTATGTAGACTTTTAAACATGTGCTTATCAGCTGCCAGTTAAATATATATTTTTTTTTCTCTATTTCATAGGGAAAAGATCCAGTAGAGAGTTAAACTATGCTTTCCAAATGAGTGAGGTAAGTTCCATGTATATATTAGCTAACCTGTAGGTCAGAGAAAAAACATGACAAGGTTAGAAATGCAATTTATATGAATAATTAAGTTCTTCTATTTCAAATATTTACTCATACCACATTTGTATTCATTTTGTCATCTAACTATAAACAAAAGAAGGTTTGAGGATGTAAAGGGAAAGGAGGGTTATACACTTCACTTGTCTATAGTAAGCGAAGATACTTAATGTAATTTCAAGAGCAACTATTAAAAATGCTCCACAAAGAAATATACTCAAAAAGTGTTTAGATAAACCAAAGCAAAATTGTAAGAAAATGTGGCTCAGCCATAGTAAAACATTTTGGATGCTGAATCTTGGCAGGCCAAAGCCACATTAGAGGCCCAGGTTTAATTCCCAGTACACCCTAAAAACCCTGGTGTGGTGGCACATGCCTATCATCCTAGCTACTCAAGAGGCTAAGGCAAGAGGATCATAGCTCGTGGCCAATGTGGGCAACATAGTGAGACTCTGTTTGTAGGAGCCAGGCCTAGTGGTGCAGCCAATGGTCCCGGCTACTCAGGAGACTGAAGCTGGGGTTCAGGACCCAGTGAGACCCTTTTTAAAAATACCACACACACACACACACACACACACACACACACACACGTATCAAAAAAACACACATGTATCAAAAAAAGGGCGGAAAATGATTTTTTTTAAGTCTCAGGAAAAATAAAACAGATAACTATAAAGCAGGAGTCAAGAGTAAATGGGGGACCAGCAGTTAGCATAATGGCTATGTTGCTGGACTCCCACATAGTCGACTGCGGTTTGAGTCCCGGACCCAGTGGCTTAAACTCACGCCAGGCATGTGTGCGTGCATGACCAAGACCCTGAGAGGAGAATGAAGGAGAAGGGATTGCGGCATGGCCATCCCCCCTGGGGGGCGATTTCTCACTTTCTATCTCTCTGTCTCTCTCTGTCTGTCTGGCAAACGCACGCGCCCTATAGCAAAAATCTCTACCCCAAAAAAAAAAAAGAGTAAATGGCAGAATTAAATACCTAATACATCAATAATTACATTAAATGTAAATGGTCTAAATGCCAAATAAAAGGCAGAGATTTACAGAGTGTATTTTAAAAAAACACAACAGTAAAAGGTTCAAAAACACATATATTATCACATAAAATACATGCAAACACTGATAAAAGTAGAAGTACTATATTAATATACAATAAAGTATATTTTATAGCAAACAAATTTCTATTGCAGAATGGGATGTTACATGATGATAGAAGTCCATCCAATAAGAAGACATAGCAATGCTAAAGCCATCTGCATAAAATAGCAGCATCACAATACATGAAGCAAAAGTTAATAGAAAGGAAAGGAATAATATACAAATCTGTAATTATAATTGAAGACTTCAATATCTTTTTTTTTTAACAGTAGATACAAAACTAGGTAGAAACCCAACAGGGATATAGACAAACCCAATATCATCAACCAATAGGATATAATTGACATTTGTAGCGTATTCTACCTAGCAGCCGCAGAATACACATTCATTTCAAATGCTCGTGGAATATAAACCAAGATAAACCATATCCTGGGCTATAAAACAAACCATTACAGATTTGATAGAATTAGATTCAGAGTGCATTTTGTGACCACAGTGAACTCAAACTGTGAATCAGTAACAGAACTATTAAGAGTAATATCTCCAGCATTCTAAAACTAAACAGTATACTTCTAAATAATTCAGAGACTAAAGAAATTCTCAAAATAAATGAACTAAATTAAAGTGAAAATGTAGCATGTCAACATCTAAATTAAAGTGAAAATGTAGCATATCAACATTTGAGAGAGAAAGCCAAAACAGTACTAAGGGAGACGTTTGTCATGCTAAATGTTTGTTAGTAAAGAGATAAGTCTCAAAATAGTAATAAGCATCCATCTCAGGAAAATAGAGCAAAATATACCCCAAAAAAGGAGAGGAACAAAAATAATAAAAGAAACAATCATCAACCAAAAATTGCTATAGAAAACCATTAAAACAAAAACTTTCTTTGAACAACTTTTTTGATGCTACTTTGCTTAATCATTTTTCCCCCCACGACAGAGAAAGAGAGAGAGGGAGAGAGACAACCATTGCCACAGGACTCCATGCCATGGTCCACCCCCAGTCTCAGCCATGATAGATGTGTGCTTGCTTGGGGGGGGAGGGAGAGATGGAGGGAGGGAGGGAGGGAGGAAGGGAGAGAGAGAAAGAGAGAGAGAGAGAGAGAGAGAGAGAGAGGAGCACCCTCCCCAAGACCTATTACGCTGTTAACCCTCCACTCTAGTCCTCAGCCTGTGGAATCCAGAGCATTTATTTTAAGAACCTTGTCTAGGGGTTCCTTTGAATATTGCCGCAGTTTGTAACTAGTAATAGTTTGTGTCCTTTCCTTATTTATGTTATTCCAATTTATACTATTTGTTTATTTCTTCAGGGTTGAGGTCAGGGAAGGAGGCAGCATGAGACATCACAGTTATGGTCACTGTAAAGGGAAATGTAGAATTGAGAACAGCACACATTCCCCTTTTGCCCAAGACTAAAAGTCAGTGAGAAGTGAGACAATGAAATGTTCAGCAAAAAGTGAAAGGAGGCCAGCTGGTGGGGTGGTGGTGAAGGTAGCTGGATCCACTGGCCAACATGGCCGACTATGCCATTCAAGCCCTGGACCAGCAGCTTGAGAAAAATGCCTGTTGCATGTACAAGCATGCCCCAAATCTTGAGAGCAGAAGGGAGAAGGGATTGTGGCATGGCCATCCCCCACTGAGGGGGTGCTCTCTTACTTTCCCTGTCCCTCTTGCTTTGTCTCTCTCTAGTAAGTGTACATACTGTGTAGCATATTTTAAAAAATAAATAAATAAAAAGGAACCTAAGTTATTTTATTTTACATTTTGCAAACTAAAGATGCATCCACAACTTTCGATTGAGAAATTTATTTTTATTTTTCCCCAAGTGACTTAGCTTACTTGCTTCTGGAACTTTTAATAAGTAAATGGTTTTCTTATACCCTTTTATAAATGATAAAGCTGATTTTTCTTTAGGATAGCTGAAAAAAATATGAGAGATCAGTATAAAATGAAGCTATAATAAATTTATTTATTGTCTTTTTTAAGTTTAGTATTTTATGTATGAGAGGAATGCATGCATGCACACACATGCACTCATCTGTGAGAGGGAGATAGAAACAGAAAGACAGGCACCCTTGAGAGGGTTTGTTATGTTGTGATCCGCTTTCCTCCAACCCTCTAGCTCATCAGGTTCTTTCGTACCCACACCTGCACCCAGCATGTTCCAGATTAACTGAGGTGTGAACCTGTGGTCCATCATGTGGCTTCCAGCACTGCAATTTGGCATGCTGCCTGCTACCTGTGCCACTGAGGCTGGACCTTCATTTATTATCTTAATGGCAGAAATGTAGCTATACAACACTTTTTAGAGGCTGCTCTTCCAGAATTCAATGATAAAATTAATTAACATTATTCACTATTAACTTATGTGAGCCAGTAGAATTCTTTAAAGGTCCATAGACACTCATATAAATGGATAAGGATTTTGAGCATGTGTTTACTCATAGTTTCTCAGTCTTCCCATAACTCT